AGTACCACAAGATACGAATGACAGTATTCATATGTTCTTCACTTGGAAAATGCATGAATTGGCTAACAACACTTAGTGCATAAGCCAGATTTGGATGAGTATGAGCAAGATACATCAACCTCCCAACTAGTCTCTGAAACATTTCCTTGTTAACAGGAACTTGATTTGAATGCATGCTTAGTTTCAGATTTTCTTCCTTAGGAGTACTAACAGGACTACATGCTGTCATGCCAATTTCCTTCAACAGATCTAAGGCATGTTTTCGTTGAGACAAAAAAAATATCCTTATTTGATCTTGACATTTCAATGCCAAGAAAATATTTCGTCTCATCCAGATCTTTCATTTCAAATTCACCAGCAAGATATTCCTGCAATGCCTTCTTCTTTTCTTGATCATTTCCAATTACTATCATATCACCATCATATACAATGAGAGCTGTAACATTTCCTTTATTATGCTTCAAGAAAAGAGTATGATGAGAATTTTTTTGCCTGTTTTGAATTTTTTCATAGAACTTGTGAACCGTCCAAACCACGCTCTGCGGGATTGCTTCAAACCATATAGGGCATGTTTTAACTTACACCATGATTGTTATCTTCAGACTGCATATTACACCCAGGGAGCAACTCCATATAGACTTCTTCTTCAATATAGTCATGAAAAATGCATTCTTCACATCTAACTGGTGCAAGGACCAATCGAGGTTCACGAAAAAGGATAATAAAATACGTACAGTATTGATTTTAGTCACTGGTGTGAATGTCTCACCATAATCAATTCTATAAGTTTGTGTATATCCCTTGGCAACTAGTCTGGCTTTGAATCTTTCAATAGTTCTATCAGCTTTGTATTTAATGACAAAGACCCATCTACACTTGACATGTTTCTTTCCTTCAGGTACGTTAAAAATTTCCCATGTTGCCTTCTTTTGGAGGGACTGCATTTCTTCATTAATTGCTTTCTTCCATCGAGGTCTTTCAAGGCATCCAGCACACTATTAGACTAGATATAGCAGATAATTGATTTACAAATGATTTATTTTCCTTTAACAACCTATGGTAAGACACTGAATTACTTATAGGATACTTAGCTTTAGAATTGAGAATAGCTTCATATCTTGCTCTGGGTATTCCTCTTGTGACTCGATTTGGTAGTATTTTCAGGTGAGGTTTGAAATTTACATGAGGTATGGTAAATGAGTCATCTTCAGGAAGCAATTGGTTAGATGGTACCTCATGAATTGGGGAATTCGGCTCTTGTGATACAGGTAGCTCTTATGATATCTGGAATATTTTCATCCTCTGTAGTGTGTTCATGATTTCCATTTTCCGAAGTGCATTTATGTGGACATTCACCACTTACATTCAACTTATCACTATTTATAAAATCCAACTTATCCAATGAATAATTCAGAGTTTGCAATTCATTTTGATTATTTCGATTATCCCCTTGAAGTGAAGACTCAGATCAATACATGTCATTTTCATGAAATACCACATCAAGAGTGACATATAGTTTGCAAGAAGGAGGTGATAACACCGATAGCCTTTTTTATGTGATGCATAGCCAACAAATACACAGCGAAGAGCTCGAGTTTCAAATTTAGTTCTCAAGGGTTTATGAAGATACAAAAAAGTGACACACCCAAATATTCGAAGGGGCAGATTTGGGATAGTAAGAGCACTTACAGTTTCATGAAGAACATTAAACGGTGTTTGAAAATGCAAGGAACTAAAAGAAACACGATTGATAAGATAATCGGCATTAGTGATGGCCTCACCCCAATAACTAGTGGCCATGTGGGCCCAAAACAAGCAAGCACGGACAACTTCAAGGAGGTTACGATTTTCTCTCTCGGCAACCCCAGTTTGTTGATGTGAGTAAGGACAAGTGGTTTGGTGAACAATTCCATGTATCTGTAAATACTGTTTCAAATCTTGATTAACAAATTCTCCACCATTATTAGTACGAAGCACCTGTATCTAAGATTGGATGTCCTTAAAAACACAATGGTTAGGCCAAAAAATCACAATACAATATAGAGAATAAGTTATTTGAGCAACAAATAACAAGTTATGTTTGATGGAAGGAACAATGAGAATTGAATCCAAATTCAATTTATTTGAAAGAGTAAGTGAGCCTTGTCCAATCACTAGAGGGGAATTACCATTGGCAGTAGATACTACAGTCTGTATGGATGGTTTTATAGAGTGAATACTGTGATTGCCAAAGGTCATGTGATCAGTTGCACCAAAATCATTATCCATGTATTATTACTACTAGGTGCAGAAGTATAAAGGACCTTACCAATGTTATCTGAAATAGCAATTAAAGAGGAGACTTTCTCAGGAGAGATGTTTACAGGTTCAGCCATGGCAACGGAGGCCTAATGGTTGGTTTGTAAATTTTGCTTGCATGGTGCCTTTGTAGGATCCCACCAATTTGAGTATCCGATCAGTTCATAACATTGGGATTTAGAATGGTTGGTTTCACCACAATGAGTACAATATCGATCTGATTTAGCAGCACCAATTTCATAACTATTTTTCTGTTTTTCAGTGGCAAGGTTTAGTGAGCTAGATTTCGATTTTGGGTGAGAGTGCCGTTGTTGGGGCTTATCTCGGCGAGCCAACATGGCTGAGGATTCCTGAGGATTAGAATTGCCATTGATGGTTGTACGGCGAACAACATCACGACGGACATATCCATAGGTGGCTTCAAGATCCATGACTGGGTCCTTTCTCAATATCTCACCACAGATTTGTTCAAAGTCTACATCAAGCCCACTAAGGAAGATGTGTACGCGTAATCGTTCAACAGATTTTTTATAGGCAATAATATCATCATGATCTTTCATGATAATTTAATCACGATAATCTAGTTCTTGAAAAAGTTCGATCACCGTAATAGATGGAGGGGGAACACCCTGTTTGATAGAAAAAGCTCGTTGATTCAATGCAAAGATTTGTTATTCATCCGACCCATCGTAGAATGCTTTGGCAAGAGCAGTCCAAATTTCTCGAGAAGTTCGTAATCTTATATATCGTTTCATAATCACTGGCGACATAGAGGTCAATAGCCAGCCTTTGATTTTTTATTTTCGACATACCACTTCGCATAAGAAGTGTCGGTCTCCTTCGGGGGTTCAGTTTTGCCCACAATATATTCTAGCTTTTCACAGCTTGCAATCTGTTTCTCCAAGATTTGGGACCAAACATCGTAGTTGGTTGTGAAGATTAATGTCTGCGTGGAAGCCAGAAGATTCAAATTAGACATGAATAACTGGCATAGGGGCTTCAATTTTATCAGATGATTTGGTTGGCATAGTGACTTCGATTTTATCAGCAGCCATAGAAATAATTTCAGACAGTTCAAGAATTACGTTTGGTGGTTTGGTGATTAATTCTGTTCTGATATGGGTTCTGTTTTCACGAATTTGAGTTGAATGGACGATTGTTGGAAGCAAACAAGAAGTCCCACATCGGTTGGAAGAAGAAAAAAATCCACCATATAACCCAAGTGGGCTACTCCACACATTGCCAATTGTTTTTGGGTTGGAACCTCACTTGGGCTAGGTGGTGTAGGCTTGGGCCGGTTAATTTGCTCATTATTTTCCCTACATCTGATATCAAAGCCCAGGGTCGGAGGAACGCAGTAGAAAGCGTGGCTAAAAATCATTTGCGTTTGAGGTGCCTTGTGTCGAAAGTTTTCTTGACATTGGTGGTCAGGCGGAGGGTCCTGTTTGGTTGAAGGCGACGGTAATAACGACGGTACAAGATAATTGGCGAATGGATTATCGTTTGAGGGGAGACCACAATGATGTGGTCCTTCGTTTGAGGAGAGGATTGTTGGGAGCAAACAAGAAGTCTCACATCGGTAGGGAGAAGAAAAAAAATCCACCATATAACCCAAGTGAGCTACTCCACCCATTGCCAATTGGTTTTGGGTTGGAACCTCACTTGAGTTTGGTGGTGTGGGCTTGGGCCTTGTCAATTTGCTCATTATTTTCCCTACAACGATAAAAGATTGAATCTAAAATTTTATTTTGTTCTGATATGGGTTCTGTTTTCACGAATTTGAGTTGAATGGAGGATAAAAGATTGAATACTGCTCTGATACCAAGAAGTGAATCAGGGAAATATATTTCCGTGTTTTAATTTTACAAAGACTAATGGCTTAAATAGCCAATGTATATTTCTAATCTAGGAAAGCTAAAATTTACAATTTACTTAATTACATAATCAATCTGCACGAGTGTCCTGAATGGTAGTGGGAGAGAATCATGGAATTATGGTAGTCCACCAGCTTCGAGAAAATCATGGAATTGCAACATATTCTTGATAGGTATTGTCTCATTTGCCAATTTACATATGTCCTCACATATAATCATAGAGTTAAAAAATTGCTTTTGTATCCTTCAATAGAACTAATAGAAAATACATCATACATTTCCATTGTTGATGTTGGCAGCAGTTCTATGGATTTGACTAATATACTGCTTCAGTTGGTTTTTATCAACCTAGATATAATTTGAAACATTCAAAAATAAATGGTTGTTTTAGCTAGATATGTAAACGAGTTACTAAGAGTTTGGTGTCAGACCCGTGGTTGTCATCTAGAAACCCGTGGTTGTCATCTAGATTTGTGCACTTTCTCCTGTTTTTTTATGCTTTCTTGTACTTACTTGGTCATTGTCCTAGGCTCATATAGTTTCGACACATCCCAGAATTTCAGGTTTGGATTTATTGTCTTGGAATCAAACATATTCTCTCCTGCTAGCTGTTTTCAGACAAAGCTAAACAGTTACCCCATAAACGCCAAAAGACAACACCACCATTATTCCAGTCTCTAGTGTCTCGTTATGTTTTCGAGAAAATTGACACCAAAAGTTTTCGATCATTTCCAGAACACGGCGTATGATCCTAAGTTGATCAATCAAAAACATTTTATAGAAAATGTACTAGCAATTGTGTTGTACAGAAAATCAGCAGAGGAAAGAATGGCTTCCCAATTTGAAGGATTCATAAAGAAAGACAAGAATGAAAGCAGAATCTCGTATCTCGTCGAGACAAAGAAAGATCAGAATCCCTGTTTTCCTCAGGCGCCGTTCGAAATCCTGAGCAACTATCAGAGCCAATTAAAGCGTTTGACTCCACAGAAAAGTAACGAGCCTACAGCCCCTCAAACGACAAACGGGACCCTAAAATTTTCGAGTAATCCTGTCGTGTCAGCTGTATTCATCATGAAATTAGCAAGAATGAGATTACACGAAGACTGTTCGTCGTATTCTATCAATCCGTTTAAATTTCAATCCATGATATCAGTAGATAACTTAAAGGATGTGGAACTTGCATCCAATCTTCTTATGGCTGCTGAAAATCTCTCCATCCAACAATTTGATAGCGCGGAAAAATTTCTCAAACAATGCGTTCTTTTAGCTTCACCTTGTGACAGTCCTCTTCGAGGAATTGTTACCTATTTTACTGACGCTTTACGAGAAAGGATTGATCAAGAAAGGGGAAGGATCGATTTAGAGCGTAAAATAGTAGATTTAGAGGAATACGCAATGATGTTTAAATCTGTCTTTCTCTCGTGTGAACAAAAACTTCCCCTTAGTCAAATAAGTCAATTTACTGGAATGCAAGCCATTTTGGACAGTGTGGCATCAGCAAGAAAAGTTCATGTGATTGATTTTGGAATCAGAAGTGGATCTCATTTGATAATTCTAATGCAAGGTCTTGCTAGTCGAAAAGATCATCCAGTCGAGCTGCTGAAAATTACTGCAGTTGGAAAGTCGAAAAATAGGCTCGAAAAAACAGGTAAATGGCTATCATCTTTTGCAGAATCCTTGAATTTGCCCTTTCTATTCAAAACAGTGATATCAGAACTGAATGACCTTAAGGAAGGTTTTTTCGAGGTGGAGGCCGAAGAAATGGTGGCAATATTTTTGTCCCTGAAACTGTGTGGTATATTAGCCTGGCCCAGGCGCATAGAAAATTTCATAGGATTTGTCAAAAAACTCAATCCATGTGTAATTGTTGTTGTTGAAATGGAAGCGAACACAAATACGCCAATTTTTATCGACCGATTTTATGAGGCAATCTTCCTTGCTAGTGCAATATTTGACTTACTCAATACCTGCCTAAAAGGGGACAGTATGTTTAGGAAAATAGTCGAGGAAACATACTTCCAGCAGATGATTTTGAGTACGATTGCAGAAGAGGGTGAAGGAAAGATTCAAAGATTCGCGAAAATTGACTTCTGGAGGGAATTTTTAGCAAGGTTTGATCTTGTGGAAGCAGAGTTGAGTCCATTGTCCTTGTATCAAGCTAATTTGGTTCTCAAGACAAGTCCTTGCTGGAGTTCTGCTACTGTCGACATGAATGGAAAATCCTTGATTTTGGGTTGGAATGGAACCACTATTTTATCCCTTTCTGTTTGGAAGTTCGACCACAAGTTGGAAACAGAAACAAACTAAGTCTTTTTCTTAATAAACTTGGGTCAGCTGCATGAATCCTTATATGTCATTTTGTTCAGTTCGTTCTACATTTACAGGAAGATTTGAAACGACTGGCTATTAACTACAATTTAATTTAATGTCAATTAAGATAACTTTTGTTAAGTACTTGATTATTACCGTTATTTAGAGTCTAGTGGAGATCAATCTCCGCGAGAAGGTCACCGTGGGAATTAGATGGGGGTAGGAAGCTTCCCTTCCATCCCCGAACCAAAATTTCATTAAAGATAGTTTTGGAATTTAACGCTTGTAATTTCGATTTTGCCTTTTGTCTTATAAATGGAGAGCCGTCATTAGGGTTTTGGACCATCGTCAAAAAGACAGGGAGGGGATTAAAGAAAATATGGTGTGTAATTTTTTTATGCCCTTGTAAGAGCTCTATTTTTTGGAAAAATAGATTTTGTAATAGTGATTATTTTTTTATTTTTCTTGGAGAAAGTGCAGTTAAAAATAAGGAAAATTTTTTGAGTTTACGAGTAAAGTTATTTATTGAATAATGTATGATTGAAAATGAGTTTGGAGAAAAATAGATTTTGGTAAATGGTGCTCAAACAAGGGTTCTTTTATCATTGTGAATTATTATAGCAACGGACAAAGATATAATCTCACATTGAGACGAAATTCTATAAATGTTATATATTCTTGTGTGTCGATTTTCTTACAACGATTTTATTGCTTTTGGTGATATAGAATTAGGATTTCTAAATTTCAACAACTTTGTCCAATTCTATTGACATAAATTGATGATGTGACAATCAATAATAATAGTCATCACTCGTAACAATTAGTTGCAGACGCGAAATATTTACAACTTCAATGAAATAAATGATGAATTTTTTCAGTTCAATGATTTTCGTCAGTCCAAGTGACAAAACTTGATAGAATTATTTGATTTCAATCAAATTAAAGTATAACTATCGAATTGAACAAAAATTGAAGTACAATTACTTGATTATCATTAGAGTATAGTTACCACGAAAGGAATTTACCCCAAATATTTTTACAGTTGACTCGTTGAATTGAATAATAAAATTGTCTTTGAGAGTTGTAATATTTTCCTAAATTCACGAAATCTCTACGAATAAACGAATCATTCGCATCCTTGCTCCATCGCCTATTCATGTTTCTGATAATCACCACAGTTACTATTCAAATGAAAGGATCTGTACGTAGACGTCCAATGATCTTAAGAACTATGTAAATAAATAAGTTTCTTCGATCGCTAATAATTTATGTTTCGATTAAGATGGTTTCACATGGTATTAAAGTAAACATGGTCATGATTAAAAATAATTTCGGTCGAATTCCTATGATCAAAGTACAAACAAAATAAACATAGTTTTTTATTTTGCTCGAACTCCCTCGGCTCATCAAGCTGAGTTAATTTTTGGTTCAGTTCTTGCTTGTGGTGCAGTCTAGTTGAATTCAATTTTCAAAATAATCACCGTGGGCCAGCATTCCTGGGTGCCATAAACCAGATCGCTGCTAAGAATAAGTTGGTTTGTGTGTGTTAAAATATTGCTGTTCTTTAAATCAAAGTTTAGTTTAATATTAAGAAATTCTTTTGATAATGAGGCTCAATTTCTAGTATTAATATCCTGGAAGTTTGGTTAAAACTGGGAAAAAGCAAAAAGAAAAAGCTGTAAAAACCCACATAAAATTCTATATGATACAATATTATTTAGGATAAATTACAGAGATCTTCCCTTAGATTTCTGATAATTTCAGAAATGTTTATTTACTTTTCAAAATTTATATAAAACATCTATGTTAGAATTTGTATGTGACCCGAATCCCTCGAAGTAATTGAAAAATTTTAATTGAAGTGCACGTCATGAAGATCAAATTTGGAATATTATTGGAGTCTTATGTCATGTTGAAGTTCTATTTTGGATGCCCATTGAGAGTTGAAATTTGCTTTGGACTCAATTTTATGGTATCCTATTTCATCAACAACTCTACTATGTGGGTTTAGATATCCCCTACTTATTCCCTATAAATATTAGGCTCTTCTATATAATTTTATAATGTAAGAAAATAGATAACTAGAATTATAGGATCCATTGTAATTTTCTCTCTTCTTCATTGTTTTTGAGAAAATAAAATCTCTTAATTCCTCTACCATATTCTTGTCTTCTTTATTCTTTGGTTCGATCAAATACTTTATTATTATTCGTAATATNTATGTCATTTTGTTTTTGGATCGAAACACTAGATTTTCGCTATGACAAGTTAAGATGCGTGCAGTACTCGCACAGCTAGATTTGGATGGTGCGTTGCTGGGTATTGACAGGATGCCAGTAACTTTGACCGTGGAAGAGAAATTACGGAAGGATAAAAAAGCAGTTGATCACATTCATCTTCATTTATCAAATTCCATTCTTCAGGACGTTTTGAATGAGAGGTCAGCAGCTGCTTTGTAGTTGAAGTTGGAGCAATTATGCATGACCAAGAGTCTTACAAATAAATTGCATCTCAAACATCGGTTATACTCTCATTGCGTGGCAGAAGGAGGATCATTGGAAGATCACCTGACTGTATTTAAGGAGATCGTCGCTGATTTAGAAACATTGGAAGTTAAGTATGATGAAGAGGATTTGATCTTGATCTTATTGTGTTCGTTGCCCGTTTCTCTTTCTTCATTTAGAGACACGATTTTATATAGTCGTGATACTCTCACCATAGAGGAAGTGTATGATGCTTTGTATTTAAAAGAGAAGATGAAACATTTGGTTTCTGAGGTCAGAGATGGAGAAGGCCTAGTTGCTCATGGTAGTTCTGGAATGGGCAGATCGAAATCTAAGTTCAATAATCAAATGGGTAACTATAGCAAGAAGAAGGGGCACTTAAAGTAGGATTTCTACAAATTGTAGAAAATAAAGAAAAGATGACTACAAGTAGATATTCAGATACTTCAGGTGAAGCAAACCTCATGGAGAACGTTGTAAGTGATGGGAAATTCTTAGTTATTTCTGACATTGAGTCTAAACCGTAAGTTGATTGGATTCTTGATTCAGCATGTGTGTTTCATATGTGTCATAATAAGGACTTATTTGCTACATATGAAACTGTTTCCAAAGGTGTCGTGGTTATGGGAAACAACGCATCTTGTCGGGTTGCTGGAATTGGCACAGTCGATTTAAGCATTTGGATGGGACAATTAGAATACTTGGCCAGGTTCGACATGTTCCAGATTTGAAGAAAAATCTCATCTTGTTGTCTAACCTTGATTCAAAAGGTTATGAGTTCTTTGGTAGAGGTGGAGCTTTGAAGGTTTGTAAAGGTGCTCAAGTTGTATTGGAAGGATAGAAAATGTCTCGATTATACATCTTGCAAGGTCGTGCAGAATTTAGAAGAGTCAATCAGCATAAGTTCAGGACTGTGGTGGACGTTCAGTTTGGTACAATACCTTTAGGAGCTCAAAAAGGTCGGATTTGAATAATACAGTTTAGTGGACTTCAGGAGATATTGATAATGCTGCTTTGCCACTATCACCTACGGTGTCATTGTATTCAATTGTTAGGGACGAACCCAATGGAAAAGGGTATGTGGATGCTGATTTTGTTGAGCATGCTTTAAGTGGAGTAGAAGTTGTACAATCTAACAAGGAGCTTCTGTAAAAATATTTGGTATTGATTCTACTTTGGGGTGTGTTACAGCCCATTCTGGTAAATTATAAAATAATTATGATTCTTTGGAATCTGGGTAATTCTGCAGAGTAGTGTTTGGATTTATTGGAAGATGTAGAGTATTTTGTATTTGTTGGAGAAATTAATTTTTTGGTTATTGTTGAAAAAGACAGTTCATCCCTTGGTGGAATTTGTGTAAAGATGAAGGTTGTTAGAATTTGAGTGTGACCCGAATTACTTGTTAAAGTAATTGAAGAATTCTAATTGAAGTGCACGTCATGAAGAATTCAAATTTGGGAGTTGGAATTTGCTTTGAACTCAATTTTATGGTATCCTACTTCATCAACAACTCTACTATGTGGGTTTGGACATCTCCTACTTATTTCCTATAAATAATAGGCTTTTCTATATAATTTTATAATGTGAGAAAATAGTTTACTAGAATTATAGGATTCATTGTAATTTTCTCACTTCTCTATTATTTTTGAGTCAATAAAATCTTTTAATTCATCTGTCATATTCTTGTCTTTTTTATTCTTTTGTTTGATCAAATATTTCATTATTATTTGTCATATAACTTCAACATCTCAATCCGATAGTTTGTTCCACAACAATTGGTATCATAGTTATTCTGGTATCTTGATTGTTTTGCAACACTCTCTTATTTCACATTTTAAATAATACGTACTCTTCCTCCTTAAGTACTTTTCTTTTCACGTGGTTGCATACTTAATAGTTTTGCTTAAAATACTTTTATTATCCTTCTTCTATCTTATGGCTCTTTAAACGTTAATGTCATATCTAAAATACTATTTTAACACTTCTAACTAAATCAACATCATATAATTTTCTTTTGGACGATGATGATTTGATTTTGGGGATTTTTATTTTTTATACAAAGGAAAACACATTCTTACTCACACAGCAATGCCATGTTTTACTTTGATGTATTTTAGTCCTAGGTGGTTGTAGTTAACGAGGTAAACGTGCCTCGTAAGAATTCCGTGAGTAATAGATTCCAAACAACTGATGGATAGGTAATTATTTGAATAGTTGAGTGACCAATTAATTAAGTTTTATATTTTAGTATGTAAGTACTAATAATGAGAGAGTTGAATGACCATAATTTGATGCGTTCTAATACTAGGTAGTTGTAGTTAACGATGCAAACATGTCACGTAAGAATTCTGTTGGACACGTGAACATTTCCATTAAGTGAAAGTAATGAATTTCACTTAAGTGCTGGATGAGTAACATTTTGAATACATAGGGTGAGCAATGAATAATATTTTTTGTTTAGTGAGTAATCTAGAACAAAGTTTAATGGACAAT